AGTGAAGAACACAGGTACGGACGGCTCAGACTCCGGGAAAGCCGGAGCCCCAAAATGGGAATGGACAACGCGCGGTCACTGTCAGGTGATTGACAAAGTCCTACCAGAGATCAAGCCAAGAGTTGGGTGTGGACGGTTCTTTGTTAGAATTAGGAGAGCGCGAGTAAGTGAATACCTGCAGAGAGCTGCTGATGGGAAAGGACAGAGCTTGGGGAGGGATGTGAGACTGCAAGGACAGCAACACTACAGAGAAGGGGGAAAGAGACGGAGTGAAAGAGAGAGAGAAGAAAAGAGAAAGAGAGAGAGAAAGAGGAATGGCAATAAATAAAGTAGTTATTTCCTGGTGTCTGTAGTCACTGAGGGTATAATAATAATAATAATAATAATCCTTGCATTTGATATAGCGCTTTTCACGTCGGGAGGACGTCCCAAAGCGCTTCACAGAACACACTGTAAAGTGAATTGACTGTATATTTGTGGGCGAACGCGGCAGCCAATTGCGCACAGCAATGTCCCACAAACAGTCGTAGATTGAAAATGACCAATTTAATTATTGTTTTTGGTTTTGGAGGGATTATTATTAGGCTCTGTGTGGAGTAAGGAAACTTGCCCAAGGTTTCGCCCTCTGCCTGGAATTGAACTCAGGTCTCTCACTTGCAAAGCGAGTGCTCTAACCACTGAGCTACAGGACTCCACGATTAAAAGTATGATTAAAAGTAAACATTGCCACAGTATATGGATGAGATTTAATTGCAGTCAAACGTATCCCTGGGATGTTTTAGAAGTAAGAGGGCATTATCTCCTATATATCACATGTTGTTCTGGTTAATCCCAAAACCCTTCCAAGTTTTCTAATATTTACTTGAGCTCAACTGTCTGCAAAATAGCCTAATTGGGCTGATCATTCATTCTCAGCCTCGTTTATCACATGTGGGAGTTTATATTAATAAATGTATAAATAGGCTGCACTTGTAGCCTTTTAAGAATTCCGTGCCACAAGTCGGTTTCTATGGAATGTGTTCAAACATGTAAACGTTGCCAATGGCAATAAACTCGGTATTAAATCGTAACCTACTCTGATTCCCGATTTCATTTGCCATCACGCCTCACTGGGGTGTGTTACAGATCCTGCCAGTCATTGCTTCCTTTCCCCATGGGGATAATGAGGATGTTTTAACCCCTGACGGAGAGGGGACTGACTGAACTGAGCCCTCACTTTGGTACTGTGTTGCTCAGTGCAATAATGGGTGCTCAGTTACTATCAGCAATGTGTTACAATGCCTCTGGACCCAGAGATGGGAAGACTTATCTTCTGATCATTTCAGTTTCTGGATTTGAGTCGAGGGCAAGCCGTCCTCACTGGGTGGGATCTCGTGAAGCCACTTCACAACATGTCAGGGAATTACCCCTGGTTCTTTGACTCAGACCAGATTAGCAGGTCATCACTGTTGCTGTTTTTAAAAGAAAGATGTCTGAAAAGTGTTAATCTAATGTTGTGACGGTCATAAAGGGGTGAGGTTTATAATCCAGTGCTGGCTATCCCTGCAGGATTTTGACAAGTGCTTGTTTTGTAACTAGGGGATGAGTCGGTATATTGTATGTGACTGCGGAAGCCAGCAGATCGCAGAGACACTCGCTTACAGCACTCACTTACAGATGGTTTAGAAGAGTGTCAGCCTGTGTGTGTGTGTATGTCTGTTTATGTACGTGTGTCTTATGTCAGTGTGTATGCGGCTGCAGAATAGCCTCAACACAGCCACTTCTCTTCCAGTTGTGATCACTTGTTTGCTTTATTAGGGCACAGGCACCTCAGTCAATGGCAGCTTGTGTAGAAACATGACTTTCTCTGTCCAACCCTCACTTTGCCTTTGAACGTTAGTCTAGCACCATCTGTTGCCAGATAAGAGCACTTGGCTTTATTTCCCGGCTTCACTGAAATCCCGCTGATTATCTGTGTGGAGTGATCGAATGCTGATGTAGGTTTTTACGCATTACGAAGTAATGCACCCCTTCAAGAAACAAAAGGTTTAACATCTCTGATCACAGATTCAGTTTGTTAAATTCTTGTTGGGAGGTGAATAAATCCCTGATATTCAGTACTAACCCCACTTTCACAACAAAGTGAAAGAAACGGGGCAAAAAAAGTAGTTAACAGGTAAGGGGCACTTTTCAAAATAGGCGCCTCTAATTCTTTCCCTGTGAACTGGTCCGGATCTGTGTGCCTCAGACCTTGTCACGTGATTTTTTTGTGTGAGAAACCACTTGATTCTTCGAAGCAGAAAAACAGAGGATTACTTCCCTATTAGCACTTACAATGTTCACTTGACAGGTTTGTTATAGTCGTAGCTTTGAGTCCTAGGGCGAGCCTTTCAGGCCTGCCAACTGCACTTGTGACTTCTTGGCTCTCGCCCCAGAACAGCGTAAAGTGTTATTACTCTATATCCTGAGCAGGTTTGGAGCTGCGAGTCTTGAGATGAGCCCAAGTGTTTAACGGGAGAAAATGGGCAAAACATTCTTTGTCTGAGAATCTGATAGCACTCGTAGATATAAGTCGTACTAATTACATTGCGCCCTTCACCAGGGGCAGTATCTTGACATTGAACAAAACGTGGACACGTCAAACACTCTGCCCCACAGCTCTAAACGCTCAAAGCTGCGATTGGAAGATTGGGGCGTGTTTCCCAATTGGGTGAGAGGCGTTTGTCAGTTGCTGGGCCTCTCCTCAGTGATCGTCTTGGCGAAGGGCAGATGGAGAGTATTGCTGGGCGTTGCAGATGGTAGCTGTGAGCGTACGTGCTGACTAGTCAGGCCTCCGCTGAGAGATACCTGAGCTTCACCAGCCTGGCCATCTGCTCAGGTTCCAGCTCGTGATAAGGCCTTGGATCAAATGCATGGATTATTACTATTATTAAAACATTTCAGATAAGTGTTCTGAAGAACGCACAAACTGTATTTGACGTTTGAGTGGTGAGGTGATCATATGAGTGCAAAGTCGGGGGGTGAAGAGAGCTTGCTGCTTTGCATTGGAGAAACCTTTAGAGATTCAAGTGCATTTACTTGAAACTTGCCGTAAAGCTGCAGTGTGACTTCACCAGAGTTGGCGGTTGGTGAGTGGGGGGAGAAGGCTCTCTCGGATTGATTGTTCTTCCACACTATAAACATCTGACTTCCAGCAGCCGTTTCAAATTGATTAGCTCAGAGAGAACCCTAGACACGGCCTTCGAGGCGCTGATTGTAAGAGCTGATGTCGACAAGCAAAAGTAATTTGAATCGATCACAGGGGATTATTTATGTACTGTTTTTAGGGAAAGGCGAGCGAGTTAGCACGCAATCCGCAGGGCGAGTGGGACTAGAATCTGCTCTGTGTGTGCTGGCCAGAGAATGGCTGACTGACAGTCACACTGTGAGGCTCTGTTTACTCTTCTCTTTATACACCTTATAATTCCGCTCTCAATACCAATTCAGTGCGACTGAATGGTCACTTAACACGACAGTGATGATTCAAACCTCATTTCCGACATTTAGTTTTGGATCCTGTAATAAACTAAACACCTTATCCATTTCCACCATCACAGTATTTATGAGAGAGAGAGAGAGACACACACACACACATACACACATTGCACTAATGTCTATCCAACGCCACTAATGCCATTGGCTGTTTCTGGTTTCCCTACTCTTCGACCGCACCTTCGGTCACTCATCAACCCCCACCCTCCCTACCCTCCACCCCTCCTGATCCCTGCCCCCAGCTCGGGGACAAATCCTTGACTGTCCAGCGCCTTGGGACATCCGCCCAACGTGAAAAGCGCCATGTAAGCGGACGGACTGTGGGATGGAGTTCCAGAGGATGGGGGCAGAGAGACTGAAGGCCTACCGTCCCATTATAAAGACTATAACATTTGTTGACCACAATCAGTGAGTGACCCTTGATGGCCAGGGTGTGACACCACCTATTACCCACGAATGGATAAATTGAAATACGTTTTCGATCGAGAGAAGACAATAGGCACATCTCGTTTAACGCTTCACCTTGTCGCTGATACTCCCAAGTTATGAGCTTATTAATCTTTTTGCGGTTTGACAGAAAAATAGCTTGGAATAAATATTGTCAGCCCAGGTGAAGCATGCGATACCTCGCGTTGACCTTGAGTGTTGGATTGTACAGTTTTGATGCCCTTTTGATACAATATAAATGGCAGGATTCAATTCAGTAACACATGGCATTAATATCAAGGCAGCCCCGTCACCACAGGATTTGTATGTGGTTTTAAATTGACGGAAATCGGAAAAGTAAAACTCACATATTGAAATAGATTTTACGGAACAGTGCGTGCCAGAAATAGTCGCTATCCTTTGCTTATTTCAAAAGCATACTAGGATATCACACTGTGCCCACACTGCCCATCACCTAAGTTGGAATCTGCACTCGTGTGCGTTAGATGGGACAGTCCTCACAGCCATGGTTGTACATCTCAAAACTTACCTCTTAATAATCATCCTTGCATTTGATATAGCACTTTTCACGCCTTCTAGACGTCTCAAAGCGCTTCACAGAATATGCTGTAAAGTGAATTGACCGTATACTTGTGGGCGAACCGCGGCAGCCAATTGCGCACAGCAGCGTCCCACAAACATTGAAAAAATCCGTGGATTGAAAATGACCAATTTATTATTGTTTTTGTTTTTTGGAGAGATTATTATTAGGCGTGTGGAGTAAGGAAACTTGCCCAAGGTTTCGCCCTTGTGGTCATCTACCCCGGCCCCCCAGCTTGGTGCCCATCCAATAACTAGGATGTCAGGGGATTTGATTTCAAGCCAATGATGAATTGGTGCTTGATGATTGATCGGTGCTTGTGCTGTTTCGCACATTCCAACTATTCCCGTTTTTACATGGACATGAAGTTGAGAGACGGTTTGCTTGTTTTCTCTCGGGTTCCGCTGTTCTTTGTTGCTGCGGTGACTGTGTAGTGACGCTGTCCACTTTCCTCCCGTTGCAGTCCGGCTGTGGCGCGAGCGCTGAGGACCGCCTGTACTCCGACTTCCCGGAGATCGACCTCTCGCAGCTCGATGTGAACGACCTGGACACGGGCAGCTGCCTGGGGGAGCTGCAGTGGGACAGCGAGCAATCAGACATCAGCTCCAGTCACTACAGCACTGACGGCTCTGAGCTCTTCCAGGTGTGTGTGTGTGTGTGTGTCGTTCACCTCTCATGTTTCATTCTGACACGGAGCAAAGGGTGGGGGGAATGGGATGGGTTGGGTGGGGTTGGCAGACGTTGCTTCTGTCAGTCAGCAAGCGAAAGGTTACTCGGATAACTTATTAAGGAGTCTCTTTAACCAACATCAGATATCAAACACAAGAGTGGAGGAGCTCCCGCTTTCCCCCCCCCACCCCCGTCCCCCGAGCCGCCCCATATTTGGAGAAATAAAGAGTTAAAAATAACAATACAGTGAAGGTTGGTGCAGCGCCTTTTATGTTCACAGGATTGACTGTGAAGTGTAGTGACCGTGTGTCAGCTTGTCTGAGTAACCCACACTTACACCTATTGTAGATCATAGAAGAGGAGAATGAGGCATTACTGGCGGCTCTGACAGCCACTCTGGGGGACATCGCTGTGGACGATGTGAGCCTGTCTGCTTTCGGGGTCGAGGCTGAACAACTGGGCGCTGTGTCCTCACCGGCACCTCCTGTCTCCCAGCCTGACGAGGCTTCTCTGGTAAGGAATCTTCCTGCTGTTTATAGGGAGAGGGACCAACCTCTGGGCAACCCTGCACAGGAACACAAGGCACTAGTCTCCGTTTATTTCTGATGCAAAAATACCAAAGGAACCGGTCTTGTCGTTGAAGACAGACATTTTCTCAAAGGCTGCGTTTAAATGCGGGTCACGTTGTGGGCAGTGTTTGTCTGTCTGGGATTAGAGTAAACGTTCTGAGGAGGAGACATTGAACTGCGAGTGAGGAGGGAGCTGTAGTTATTTTTCTGGCTTTCTCCCCGTTTAGTTGAGGAAACTCCTCCTCGCTCCGCAAAGCGCCCAGTTGACGTACGAGCGGCAGAAAGGGAGCCGGGTGTCTCGGCACGGAGCCGGTAATCGCAAGCCGCAATCTCGCCGGCCCTTCCTCAAGGTACAATACAAAATTACATTTGTATAGCGCCTTTCACGTCGGGAGGACATCCCGAGGCGCTGGAATTTACTGCATCACCCTGGAGCGCCGATGTGGAGCGCAGACGTAGAAAGTGGTTGAACCTGACTTTGTCTTTCAGTAAAGAGTGAATGGGTGCTGGTGCTCCTAGATTCTACCCTGCAATGTGGAGGGCACTAGAGAAGTCAAGCTGCTGTTGTCCTGTTTTGGTTGAATATCAGGATTAAGGGGCATTTTGTTTTGCAAATGAATCCTTCGACAGCACAAGAGGAACTGCTGGAGATTGAACACTGCAACAGCTTAAAGTGGGGGCTGGCAAGTGGTTCCTCAGAGGCTCCCCCAAGTGGCTCAGTGAGGAACTGGTGCGGTTCCCCCGAGCCATACAGAGCAGCGAGACAGATCCCAGGCTCAATCCCCAGTCTGTGCTGTTGGCAAAGAGTAATCCGCACAGTGATTGGGGATATAACAACTGACTTCAGGTTTCCTGGTTCAGGACTGATAAAAATTGAGCGGGTATGGTGGGGGGTGCGGAGGTGGGGGAGGGGTCTTCATTGCATGAGCACGGAGCAGAGGCATGCGACGGAGTCACTGGTTTCACACAAACAAAGTTGTAGATGAAGTTGAGGGAAGCTAGAGTTTGACCCGATGGCAGGCAGGGAAACCCTTGGTTGTACCTTGCCTTGTAATGGATGTTTGTTTTGTTTGTGAACATGAAGGAGGAAGAGGGCGGCGGCAAGGCCAACAGCACTTGCCAGCATCGACCCTTCACAGAGCTCCACAAGTACCTGACTTCAGCTACCTGCCCTCCTCAGTTAAAAGCAGCCGGTTCCCATCTCAGTAATACAGACCCAAGCAATCCAGGGTGGACTACCAGCATCATCAGTCACACCACCAGCAAGGTGAGGCTCAGCACCACGGTGATGATTGTCTTAGTAGTGATGATGCTAATGAGGAATCGAATTGCTTCAGTGACAGGATTGGGAATGGGAATGGGGGCGGGAATGGCAAACAAGGACAGGGTGTTCCGCCTTGTTTCGCTCCCATGCAGTCAGAAGATGTAGGGGTGTCAGCTGAGAGCCATTGGACTGAAAGCTGCCAGTTTAGCACAGGAGCGGAGTTACACTCAGTAGTTGAGCTCATTAGTTACATGCACACCTACTGCCTTCCGGTGAGGAAATGGCCTACCACCCCGCCTTGGTCGCAGGGCGGAAGAGAGACAACGTCCGGACTGCTCTGTGCTTCCCAACCCCGGCGGAGAGAGAGCGTCTCGATCCAACGCCTCCGTGTTAAACGCCGTTGCCGTGGTCAGGCCCATCAGCTCTCCAGCCCCAGAGAGGAACGTAAGAAAGTTTTCCCCAAATGTCGATGCTGAGGGAGCTGCTGGAGAACAATATCGCTCTGGATGTTAGTAAGCCTTATCGACTGCACAATCCTCTCTACCCCGCACTTGTTTACACTGATTCACCCGCTAACAGACAGCCGGAGCCCGGCCAGACTGTGCTGGAAAAGGCCAGAAGGGGCTCTGGGAAGAGAAAGACTGAAGCAGGAGACGCAGTGAAGAAGCCAGAGGCTGCCTGTCTGGCCGTGAGACGCTCGTTGAGACTGAACCCTCAGCTCAGCGACGTCCTGAGCTGTAGTGTAGAGGGAGCGTCAGCCAGGAGCTTAGCCAGGGGAGACTCGGGGAAAGCTACAAAGGAGGCCAGGCCGTTGAGGTTGAGGGCAGGCTTGAGCAGGAGGAGCAGGTAGCGGAAGTTGAGGTAGATTGTTCCGGAAGGCGACTCTGTGACAGTGGTACCCACATGGTGTCAGATGACCGGCTGCCATTTCGATGGTCTAGATACTTACAAATAAGGATCCCTAACATTGGGGCCCCGCCGACTCAAAGGTGAAAAACA